ATCCTATACCCTGGATTAAACTATACCCTGGATTAAACTATACCCTGGATTAAAGTACATCTGTCTCTCAAGCAAGTACGAAAATATGGCTTCACAAACATTTCCGTACCTTTTTAAGATAATAACTGTCTTTTTGTGTTTAGTGTGGATGTTCTCCTCAACCAGTACCGTGGCCTGGGTATTTCTGGATATTATTTATTTATTTTTAATTTAATTTTTTATTTAAATTCAATTTTTATTTATAAACTAGAAGCACTYGAAGAGTGCAAACCTCTGCCAAGGCAATAGGGTCAATTATGCTAAAAGGATCCCCTTAGAAAGTCACGTATCCAGTGCTTTATATTAAATATAGTAACATTATGTTGCATGTATTTAGACATAATAGTAAATGATGGAAATCAAACTTTCAATGTATTCAAACATATTTATCTGAAAACATATGCAGACATACACGACCGAAAACATTACCTCCTTGGCGGAGGTAATTTGAAGTATGTGCTGTGTAATCCAGTTCACCACGCTCTGCCCATTCTTTTTTTTTCCCAAAGTTTGTCAAGAGGTGGGTACAGGGGTGCACAAATGGCTCTCGATTTGATCTGGACTCATTTAAATAATAAAAATGAACAAACAAACAAACAACCTCCGAGTCTGAAGTCCACCGCATCACTCCTCTTCATCGATCTTCATCGATGTGTTTACAAGCCTACGGACAAAGTGGTGTGTTTGAGGAAATGGGGAAAATAGGTTTCATGTTGCAGTCACGCACTTCCTGGTCACAAGACGTTCTGTAAATGCGCACAAAATGCGTGAAAATGCGCACATTACAGCAAGAATTATTCATCATTACATCTGGTTTTAACATGACTTTTATAAAGTTTGAAGTCCGTGCTGTGTAATCCAGTTCAAATGAACACTGAAATCTGTCACAGTTTTTTACAGAAGTCATGTGAAAGCATCACAGCTTTGCCGATCTCAGAGGATTAAAAGAAAAAAATTCCTGTATCCGCATCGTGATCCGGAACATCACCAAAATTTAATGGTGTTACTTGGCCCAGTACCCACATGTGGTGTAAATGTCATGACAATCCGTCCACAGGTTCTTGAGTAATGTTGTCCACAGACAGGCCGACTGACATACGCGACCGAAAACATTACCTCCTTGGTGGAGGTAATGAAGAAAACACTAGGATAAGTGTGACTTAGAGCAGAGGTTCCCAAAGTTGGGGTCGACCCACAGTGGGCGTCCTTAAACATCAAGGTGGGGTCCTGAAAATATTTTTTTAGTTAATTACACAAAAAAATGACAACTAAGAACATTTTTCCCTTTGTTTTTACAAAATAATAAGATTAGTGTATTTAAAATGGACAAAAAATAGCGTAATACATAAAGTTACTCTGCTCTTGTTTATTTGACGTGAAAATAATGTTTATCAACCGACGACAGCTGGGGTCACAGCTCTCTGCTGCTGGTGTTTTGTGGGTCAAAAGCTGAAGAGATTGGGAACCACCGACTTAGAGAACTATAAAAATCAAATGAGTGGTCCAGTTAGGAGCTCCAAATGAATTTTTTGTGTAAATAAAAACTGAGTAATTATTCAATTCTTCTTTAAACCATTAGTTCTCACACAGATGTAGGAATCCTGGTTTATTGTGGTGTGTGTGTGTGTGTGTGTGTGTGTGTGTGTGTGTGTGTGTGTGTGTGTGTGTGTGTGT